AAACAAATAAAACAAAACAAGCTAAACCTAGAAACATTGTAGCCAAACAGCTGAAAACCAAAAATAAAAAGAAAATCTGGAAGGCAGCTAGAGGAACTAAAACATTAAACATAGAGGAACAAAGGAAGGAGTAATTATGTAAGCCAGAGGACAATAGAGCGACTCCTTAAAGTAAGGACAGAAAAAAGTGCCAATCCACAATTCTATACTCAGAGAAATTCTGTATTCACAAATAAAGATGAAATAAAGGTCTTTTTAGGCAAAAAAAAAAAAGGCTCAGAAAATTCACTGCCAAGAGATTTGTGTTACAAGACATACTGAGAAAAAAATGTGACAATGAATATATATATGTTCACGTATAAATGAAAAATTGTGCTCTACACTGGAATTTGACACAACATTGTAAAATGATTATAAATCAATAAAAAATGTTAAAATAAAATAAAATAAAATAAAACACAAAAAAAGAAATATTAAAGGAAGTATTGGAAGGACTAAGATATACAAAGAAATAAACTGCTAGAATATAATTTTTTTAAAGGTAAGTAAAAGACTTTTTCATCACTTTAAAAGATGATTAGCTGCCTAAAGCAAAGATGTTAATCATGTATTGTGGGATTTCTAAGTAAAAATGTAAATCTAAGTAAAAATGGCTAAACATCACATAGAGTGGGAGGGAGTAATAGAATTACATTGTTTTAAGACTGTAAGACAACATGGAAAATAGTATTATTAGACTGTCATAAATTGAAGATGTATACTGTGTACCACGGGGCAACCACTTAGTACATAAATTAAGATAGAGGTATTACTAGTAGTAAATAGTAGAGATAAAACAAAAAAATTCTCAATCCAAAAGAGCTTTTAAAAAAGAAAAAAGGAGGGGGAATAACAAGTGGGATAAATAGGAAACAGGCAGCAAAATAATAAATTTGAATCCAAACATACAAAAATTATGTTAAATTTAAGTGGTCAAAATATTCCAATTAAAAAATAGAGGTTTTCATATTAGATAAAAAAGACCCAACCGCATGCTATCTGTAAGAAATCCACTTTAGACATAAATAGGTTAAAAGGAGGGGAAAAGACATATGTGGAAACATTAATTAAAAGAAAGCTAGAGGAGCTATATTAATATCAAAGTAAACTTGAGAACGAAGACTACTATCCGGGATAGAGAGATATTACATAATCATAAAGGGATCAATTCATCAAGAGGACATAAAGATCCTAATATTTTTGCACCTAATAATTCTTCAAAATTCATAAAGCAAAAACCAACATAACTGAAAGGAGAAATAAATGCAAAATTACAGCTGGAGACTGCAATACTGCTCTCTCAATGTGTCACTGACAAAGCTTTTGAGGGTTATACCCCCAACCCCATTTTTCCATTAGCCATGTAGTTTTTAATTTATTTTGTATTGAGCAGTGTTTTTTTAGGAATGCACATGTCCTGTTATAACAGAACTCATTGCATTAGTATATTTCTTTCTTAATTTTTAGCCTCCCCTTATCAATCCATACAGCCTTTCTCTGTTGCTCAGTTTTGTAACTATTACATTCTCTTCCATCATCTAATTCCTCTATTTCTTTAAAATTGGTCCTTCAGTTAAATTCAGAGAAAACCACCAATCTTTTTTATGTCACTCCTGGTTATCTGATATGTATCCTCTAACAAAGGCTTCTGGGAACAAAGTTCTTGCCTACTCAAGGAATGTTGGCTCTTTTTTCTTAAATATCTTTTTAATGGGGTATAAAATTCGTAATGTGACTTCATAAGGATTTTGTAGGAATTGCTCTGCTGACTTTTAGCGGCAAATTCTGCTGTGGAAAAGTCTGAAGCTAGCTGGATTTTTTCTTATACTGACTGGCTGTCAAACTGATTTTTTGTCTTTGAAATCTATTAACCATGTTAGCATATATCATAATGTTGACAATTTTAGGTCCATATACCCTGATGGAGGATTTGCTCTTTTATGCAGACTAAACTGTTATCTCTCCCCACCAAAAGTGTTCGTAGAATATTTTAAATACTTGCTCTATTTCTTTGACTTTCTATTTTGGGAAATGAATTGTATTTATGAAATATATATGGAATCTTTTTTATTCTTTTTTATGTAATTCAAATTTTATTTATTTCAGTGTCTTCTTGCTCATTTTTTTCATTTCTTTCTGAATATAATTTTGGCAGTACCTATTCTTCCTTAAGATTCCTCCAGTTTGTTTACTTAACTGTGATTTTATTTTCTGTTCCAATTGTTTTTTGAGTTTGACATCCCACAATTCATTTTCTCGCTTATGAACATCTTCCTTAAATCCTTTTGTCACAGAAGTAATCAAATCAGTTAGCTCTGCTTTCTGAAATTCATGGTTTAACATCTGGTCGCAGTACTTAGGTACTTTATAACTGCTTCGGTCAGATGACAACTCAGTTACCTACTACTTCTTTTCTGATCTTTTTCATCCCTTTTTTCTTGCAATAGTTTTGTATACATTTGTGCTGATTCCTTTTTGATTACTTGGCTTCAAAGGACATGAGTTTTTAAGAACAGCTCACTGCATGAGGTATACTGGGGAGAGGGAATAGAGATATATCTTAGATTAAAAGGATAATTCCCTATGAACATGTGTTGTGCACATGTACCAGATTCAGTCTATAGATCAACCTAGATCTGCCTTCCTTTCTCAACCAAGTAGCCTTACAGGGCTTGCTCTGTTGGTAATCATGGAGTCAAGTGCTGGGGTTGGCACCAGTGCAGCTGCCGACCAAGTGTTGTGCTGACTTCACTGCACAAGCAGCTGAACTGGGGCCCTGAAGGCGCTGGCTTCCCCAGCAGCTACCTAGAGAGCTAATGCAATCCAGAAATGAGATGGAGTTAAAACTCTACAGACCAGTCTTATCTAATGAGAGAGAGGAACAAGAAGACAGCAGATACATCAGTTCCCCTCCCACCTTTCTGACTGGTTCTTCCAGGACATGGTGGTTCACATGAACACTATGAAGATACCCTGCTGACTGAGCAATCAAATGTGCTTATTACAGACCCATAGCTAATTGCCTCACTGTGTTCCCTTCCTCATAACCAGACTCACTCCCTGCATTTTCTCATTTTTGTAGGAGGTCTGCACATCCTGACCAACTGTTATCAAGAAAGTCTTTGCTTTAAATTCTGTGTTCTAGGATTACTCACTAAAGTAGCATGTAAGTTTATTTCCCCACATATATGCCTCTGTGAGGTTCCTCCCTCAACAAATGGAAAGTCTTCCTTTGCTTGTTGTCACAGAAAGACTGCTATTGAAAAATATGGCTTGTGTGTCTGCTTCCACACTTAGCCCTACTATGTTTGCTTTGCAGAACAAAACTGTATTCAAAGCTCCAGTTATCCTGTGCCCAATATTGTGGTTACATGAACATTTAGGTTTCACACCTTTGAGTATGTAATTTGTACCTGAAGAGGACTTTGCCAATTCCTCTGAACATCAGAAATGCTTTTGTTTTTTGTTTCTTTTAATTTTATTTTATTGAGTTATAAAAAATGCTTTTGTTTTATAACCATCTGCTGATACATATACTCCTGCTTGATTTTTTTTCAGTAATGTTGCAGCTTTTACATTTATACTGATTTGGGATCTTGGATATTCTCTAGTGTTAAAAATGGAGTTTGTATTACTCGTTTTCCTTAATGTTTCTTGATGATTTGCAAGCAGAGATAGAGAAAATGCTGACTTCACACACTCTTTTTCAAAGAAGTTCACTCTATCCTTTAAACACTGTCTTCACTTGGCTTCAGAACACTACATTCTCTTTGTTTCCCCCTAATCTCCAAACTCCTGCTTCCCTTTATTCTGGCAAGTCATGTCATTTTCATGGCTTCTGTGAGCTAGTGTCCCAGCATACAGCCTTCAGACCTCTGTGCACTCCTACTCCTAGGGAGAGATGTTACCTAACCTCTTAGCTTTTAACACTAAATTTTAAAACTTTAAATACTGCCATAGCTGGTAATTTCCACACAAATATCTCCAACCTGGACCCTCCCCTAATCTACCTCTGCTTATATATCCAAATGCTCAGAAAGTAACTGGAGTTTCTTTCTCTCACATTCCTTATCCATTTCAACAGCAAATCTTATAGGCCCCACCTTCAAAATATATCCAGAAGCCAATCACTTTTATTCTTCCTCACCATTTCCAACCAAGGGGAAGCTCTCATCACATTTCCATAGATTGAAATATGGCCCTGACTGTTGTTCCTGCTTTCAGCCCTCTGCCCCTAACAGTATTTTCTTTGCCCAACAGCCAGAAAGATCAGTTTAAAAGATGTATCAGTGTCTTTTGCTTGCTAGCTAAAACTATACCAATGGCTTCTGATTTCACTTAGAATAAAATCAAAATCCTTATCATGGCCGAAATGGCCCTACATAATTTGAGCTCCTGTCACTTCTACAATGCCAACTGTTACTACTCTTCACTCACTCCTTTCCCTAAATTCATGAAGATATTTGTCAAAAACACCAAGTAAAAAAGTAAATAAATAAAAATGAAAAAATTAAAAAACACTAAGTGCATCCCTGCTTTGATGGACTGCCATCAAGACTCCCCATGGTTCTCACTCTCATTTTATTCAAGTTGATATCATCAAAAGGCCTTCCTGACCTCCTTTTCAAAGTATAACACCCCATCATTCTTAACTTTCTTTAATTTCCTTCTATTTATTGGCATATTATGTGTGTGTGTGTATGTATGTATGTGTGTGTGTGTGTGTGTGTGTGTATGATATTGTTTGTTTCTTATCTTTCTTTCCCTATCAGAATGTAAGCTCTCTGAGGTCAGGGACAAAATTTAGTTCACTGATGTATTTCCAGCACCTAAAACTTGAATGACACACATAGGTGCTCAATATTTGTTGAATGAAAAAAAAGTGAACTTATGAGCAGCACTTAAGAAAAAGAATTCATAGCTGTCACCAGTGTCCATCTGTTTAATTCAGCCTAACTCACCTGGGTAGTCCTGGCTTGGGGACTCTTTCTCTAACACCCATGGCTGCTCTCCTTGCTCCAACTTGAAGATCAGCTCTGGTTTAGAGATGCAATATCCTGTGAATGGGAAATGACACAGGACTTGGGCTAGTCTCAAGGGCTTTAGGGCTTCTGAGGAAAACAGAAAATGAAGCTTCAGGAACCAATTTCAATCTTTTATTGGGGGAAAAACATTCTTCATGATGTCTGAACAGTTCTGCTTATCACTCTGAATCTCAAGCCTGAAAAAGCATTAAACTCAAAAAAGCCCCCACAGGTTTCAGCAACCAAGAAAGGACGTGCAAAGTAGGAGTCTACATGGAAAACAATCCCTACCTACTGAGATGAGATGACTGTAGTTCTCCAGCATCACGTCCCTGTACAGGGTCCTCTGAGCAGGGTCCAGCTGCTGCCACTCCTCCTGGGTGAAGCCCACAGTCACATCCTCAAATGATAAGGATCCCTGAAATAGCACATCTGTGCTCAAACTTAAGTAATCAGAATTGGAAGACATGGAAAAGCTGCATGAGAATTGTTATGATGTTCACTTCTCAGAGTTAATCAGAAAATGTGTTTTGGGGTGTCTACTTTTACACTGTATTTGGATGGAGACGGAGAAATCATAAAAGATATTTCCTACTACTGTAATAAGTTATTGGCATCCCACTGTGTGCCTACATGCCACAAAGAACTCTTCTACTTTGGGGGAATCCAATGATAAAGCAATGTTACTGTTACCAAGGAGCATATAATCTGAAAAACAGACAAACATACAAGCGAGAACTACAATCAGGTGTTACTATAGTGAAAAGATTTGCAAGGTTGATTGAGGAGGCGACAAAAGTTCTATTCCTGCTGTTAGGATGAGTTTCATTGATGTCAAATTCTGAGTTGTTAAAACAACATTAGAGTAACATACATGAACTTGGGGCAATGGCATAACCATGGATACATTTAAAACATGTAGTTAAACGAATAACAATTAGCACATAGGAGAGTACCATTTAGGACTATGATAAGACAAAGAGCTATAAAGGTGTTTGGGGAATTATTTCTTGAATAAATTTGGACATAACTCCTGCAGAACAGGGGTGTCCAAAATATCTGGTTACTCTTCCATCTGGGAAACCTTTTTATTTATAAACTGTAAACTTATAGTGTCAATCTATACATAAGATTTCATTCCTTTTTTTTTAGATTAAAATAAATGTAGGTGGACATCTGAATATTTTCCCATAATTGAACAGACTGTCTCAAACAGTCTTCACAAGAGTAGATTCCAGCCCAAGAAACCACTTTTTTGTTCATCTGTAAGAAGCAACTCTTCAGCTGTTAAAGTTTTATCATGAGATTAGAGTAATTCAGTCACATCTTCAGGCTCCACTTCTAATTCTAGTTCTCTTGCTATTTCCACTACACATACAATTACCTCCTCCACTGAAGTCTTGAATTCCTCAAAGTCACCCATGGGGGTTGAAATCAACTTCTTCAAATGCCTGTTACTGTTGATATGTAGACCTCTTTCCATGAATCACGAACATTCCTAATGGTTTCTAGAATGGTGACTCCTTTCCAGAAGGTTTTTAATTTATTTTGTCCAGATCCATCAGACGAATCACTATCTATGGCAGCTATAGCCTTATGAAATGTATTTCTTAAATAATATGACCAGAACATCAAAATTACTCCATCCATGTGCTACAGAATGGATGTTGTCTTAGCAGGCATGAAAACAGTATTAATCCCACTGTACATCTCCATCAGAGCTCTTGGGTGACTAGGTGCATTGTGAACGAGCAGTAATATTTTTAAGAAATATCTTTTTCTGAGCAGTAGGTCTCAAGAGTGGGTTTAAAATATTCAGCAAACCATGCTGTAAACAGAAGTGCAGTTAACCAGGCTTTGTTGTTCCATTTATAAAGCACAGGCAGAGTAGATTTAGCATAACTCTAAAAGACCCTAGGATTTTTGTAATGGTAAATGAACACTGGCTTCAACTTAGAGTCACCAGCTGCATTAGCCCCTAACAAGAGAGTAAGCCTGCCCCTTGAAGCTTTGAAGCCAGGCATTGACTTCCCTCTAGCCATGAAAGTCCCAGATGGCATCTTTGTCCAATATAAGGCTGTACTGTCTACACTGAAAATCATTGTTCAGTGTAGCCACCTTCATTAATTAGGTTAACCAGATCTTCCAGATATCTTGCTGCAGCTTCTACATCAGACTTGCTGCTTCACTTTGCACTCTGACGTTAGAGAGACAGCTTCTTTCCCTAAACCTCATGAACCAGCCTCTACCACCTACAAACTTTTCTTCTGCAGCTTTCCTCGCCAATTTCAGCTGTCACAGAATTGAAGAAAAGAGAATTAGGGCCTTGCTCTGGGTTAGGTTTTGATTTAAGGGAAAGCTGTAGCTGGTTTCACCTTCCATCCAGACCACTAAAACCTTCTCCATATCAGAAACAAGGCTGTTTCGCTTTTTAATCATTTGTGTGATTACTGGAATAGCATTTCTCATTTCTCTCAAGAACTTTTCCTTTGCATTCACAACCTGACTAACTGGTGCAAGAAGCCTAATTTTCTGTCTGTCTAGGCTTTCAACATGCTTTCTTCACTGTTTAACCATTTCTAGCTTTTGATTTTAAGTGAGAGATGGGAGGAGGGTATAGCTCAAGTGGTAGAGCACACACTTAGCATGCCCAAGGTCCTGAGTTCAATCCCCAGTACCTCCTCTAAGAATAATAAATAAATAAACCTAATTAACTCCCCTCACCAAAAAGAAAAAAGTTTTTTTTTAAATGATAAAGTGAGAGATGTGTGAATCTTCCTTTCACCTGAACACTTAGAGGCCCTTGTAGGGTTACTGATTTCAGTGCTGTTGTGTCTTACGAAGTATGGAAGACCAAGGAGAGGGAAAGAGACTGGGGAACAGCTGGCCGGGTGGAGCAGTCAGAATACACACATTTGAGTTCACTGTCTTATATGGGTTACATAGTGCCCCAAAACAACTATAATAGTAACACCAAAGATCACTGATCACCATAGCAAATATTATAATAATGAAAAAGTTTGAAATATTGCAAAAAATTACCAAAAATATGACACAGAGACATGAAGTGAGCAAATGCTTTTGGAACAATGGTGCCAATAGACTCGATGAGGGTTGCCACAAACCTTCCATCTGTAAAAAATGCGGTATCTGTGAAGTGTAATAAAGCACAACAGAACAAGGTGCACCTCTATTAGGCATGATAATGAAAAATGTAAATGACAAATGTCTTTCAGTAAAAATATGGAAAACTAAGATGTGTTATGGGTTCATAATAAAATATTATATGGCATCAAAAAGAATAAAGTATTAATCAACTTGACTGATCCTAAGTGCAATATTAAATTTTTAAAAAGGAGCTGCAGTAACCCATGTACCAAATGAGATAACCTACATAATTCTAAGAAGCATATAAAACAAAATGTATACTCTTCCATGATACATACGTTTGTCTACTTATACAAACAGAAATGAGTCAATAAATATATATAAACATACATATTTATATACATATGTATATGTAAAAACATATATGAATAGTGAGTCAAGGATGAAAACCCTGGTGCAGTACACTGAATAACGGCCGTAAGTTTTCACGTCCTAATCCCTGGAACAAGTGAATATTACTGTATATGGCAAAAGGGACTTTGTAAGTGTGATTAAGCTAAGAATTCTGAAAAGAGAGTATCCTGGATTATCCAGGTGGATTCTAAGTGTAATCATAAGTGTCCTAATAACTAAAAAGGAGCCAGAGAGAGATACGACTACAAAAGAGAAGGCAGTGGAAAGACAGAGATGAGACTGAAGTGATATGTCTTGAAAATGGAGGAAGGTACCACAACAGCTAAAAACAGCAAGGAAACACATTCTCCCATCAGAGAGCCCAGAGTACCAGCCCTGTCATCGCCTTGATTTTAGCCTCGTAAGACTACCTTCAGATTTCTGACGTCTAGAACTACAGAGGATAAATTTGTGTTGGTTTAAACCACTAAGTTTGTGGTAGTTTGTTAGAGCTTTAATAGGAAACTAATATACAGTGGATACATTATTCATAAAGAGTCAAAAGATTCCAGGAAGAAGGTGTCACTAGAGAGGTGGAAAGCCACCAGCAGAGGCTGTGCAGAAAAGCAGACACTGGGGTCAAACGCTGCAGAGAGGTCAAGGAGCTCACACTCTAGAAAATATCACCAGTAACAGACTTTTATCAGGGAAACCAGGAAACCCTGGGCTGCATCTTTCCGCAGGAACACCAAAACACCGCAGGAACCCTGGCAAAATCCATCAGAATCAACTTCAGCAGAACTCTGGAAAAAAGACAAAGGTCACAGCAACCAAGAAAATGAGACTGGGAACAGCCACTCCTGTAAGGAGGAGGAGGAGGAGGAGGTGATGGCCAAAAAAAAAAAACCCAAAAAACAAAAAACAAAAAAACGAAAATGCAGCTGAACGCTGGCAGGAGGGATCTTGCTTGACCTCACCCACTCAGGCTGTATTAGTTTGCTACGGCTGCCATGACAAAGTATGCAGACTGAATGGCTTGAACAACATGAATTTATCATCTCACAATTCTGGAGGCTGGAAGTCCAAGATTAAGGTGTCAGCAGGGTTGGTTCCTTCAGAGGGTTGTGACATATGAAGCTATTCAAGATCTCCCTCCTTGGCTTCCAGATGGCTGTCTTCCCCTGTGGCTCCACAATATATCCCCACTGTACGTAGCTCTATGTCCAAATTTTCCTTTTATAATGACACCAGTATTGGATTAGGGCCTAATCTAATGACCTCACCTTAACTTGATTACCTCTTGTAAAGACCTGTAAAGACCCTTTTTCCAAATAAGGTCATATTCTGAGGTACTGGGGATTAGGACTTCAACATATAAACTTTCAGGAGACAACTCACTCATAACACTGGTTTAGCAGTGGTCTTGAAGATAGAATCCAATATTCTTGGTGTAGATTTCTGGTGCCGGAGACAACAGATTAGAGCTGTTTTTCAAACAATTAGGGTTGTCTGTTTTAACCTAACTGGTGGACACCTGAAAAGACTAGAGCAGAATGCTCACAACTCTCTGACATCAGAGAAATGACTGTATGAAGGGCATCTATTGAAAACATTCAAAGGCAAATGAACCAGCTGCTGCCACTGGGGCAAAGGATGTCAGCTGGAGCAAACAACAAATATGTTGAAAAAGTCTGTGAAGAAAAGTTGGGGAGTAAAATGCTTTGGGGCTTTGAAAAGTTTCTATCTATTCCTGGAAATCTAGAAGACACACACATATCTAGGACAAGGCCCATGTTCAGGAAAGACCCAACAAGGTCCTAAGTGCTCACCTCTGGATGACCATCAAGCTAAGCTCTACATAAGTAGGAAATAGGAGGGAGGGAAGCGTTGTAAACTGCCCAGTGTACTGTTGAAGGTGTCCCTAACACATGTAGACCCACAGTAAGGACTGGGAGATTTTTTATTTTGTTGGCCACAGGCATTTAAGGAAATCTCCATTAAATCACCAGTTGACCGCTATAGCAAATAGAATAGAGATGTCAGTGATGACATGCAACAAAGAATAGAGATTTTACAAAAATAGTTTAGAAATTCACTAAACAAACAAACAAAAAACTATACCTCATGCAATAGTAACAACCCTGGGGCTTGGGGGAAAATGGGATTTCTGAATTAACACATTATAATATTCAAAATGTCCAGTTTTCACCAAAATATTACAAGGCATCTAAATGAGAAAGTATAGCCCATTCACGCACAAAAAAACAAAATTCACAGACACTTTCCCGAGGAAGCTTAGTCTTTGGACTTACTAGATAAAGACTGTAAATCAGATTGTCTTAAGTAAGATTAAAGAGGTAAAGGAATTCATAGGGAGAAAAGAAAACCTAAAACCTAAAGGAAACCAGAAGAAAAACATTCCACCAAAGAGGGTATCAACAAAGAGGTAGGATGAATAAAAAGGAATCATATAGAAGTCCTGAAGTTTAAAAGTACAGAAACTGAAATGAAAAATTCAACAGAGGGTTCAACAGCATATGTGCATAGATGGAAAAAAAAAGAATCAGCAAACTAGAAGATAAGTAAATAGAAATTATAGTCTGAGAAGCAGAAAGAAAAAAGAACGAAGAAAGATAAACAGAGCCTAAGAGACCTATGGGATACTATCAAGTGTAACAACCTCTGCATGATGGGATTACCAGGAGAGGAAAGGGCAGAAAAAAAATCTGAAAAAATAAAAGCTGAAAACCTCCTAAATTTGATCCAAGACATGAACCTATACATCCAAAAAGCTCAAGAAACTTCAAGTAACATAAGCACAAAGAGATCCACACTAAAACACAGAATAATCAATTATCAAAGGAAAAAAGAGAATCTTGAAGGAAATAAGAAAGAAATGACTCATCATGTACAGAAGATTCTGAAAAAGAATATCCAATTCCTCCTAAGAAACCATGTAGGACAAGAGACAGTGGGATGACATATTAAAGAGCTGAAAGAAGTAAACTTTTAATGAATAATTCTATATTCAGAAAAACGATTTTTCAAAATAAAGAAGAAATTAAGCCATTCTCAGATTAACAAAAGCTGAAGGAGTTCACTGCTAATAGACTTGTTCTATAAGAAATGCTAAAAGGAGTCCTTCAGGTGAAAATGAACAGAAGACTAAATCAAAGCTATTAGAAGAAATAAAGAACACCATTAAGCTATTAAGGTAAATATGAAAGCCAATGTTATATTTTAGGTTAATAACTCCTCTTTTTCCCCTATCTGACTTAAAAGACATAAGCATAAAACAATAATTACAAATCTATGTTAACAGGCATATGAATTACATTTCTAGGGCTGCTGTGACAAATTCCCACAAACTGGTGGTAATGAGAAATCTATTCTCTCATAGTTCTGGAGTCTAGAAGTCTGAAAGCAAGATGTTAGCAAGGCTATGCTCCTTCTGGGATTCTTTCCTTGCCTCCTTCTTGTTTCTGATGTTGGCCAGCAATACCTGACATTCCTTGGACTGAAGCTGCATTATTCCAATCTCTGCTTCCGTCATCACAAAGTGTTCCCTCTGTTTGTCTCTATCCCTGTGATCCTGTGATATAGTATTTTGGTCTTTGTCTCCAGCAGGAGGAAGGAAATAAAAAGGATTAGAAAGACAAATGAATGGAATAGAAAAATATAGTGAACAAGACCAAAGATTGTATCTCTGAAAACAATCAACAAAATTAACAAATCTTTAGCTAGACTGACAAAAAAGAAAGAAAACTCAAAATAATAAAATCAGCAATGGAGACATTACTACCAACCTAACAGAAATAAGAGGGTTATCAGACAATATTACAAACAATTCCACATCAAAAAACTGGAAATTTAGAGGAAATTAATAAATTCCTAGAAACACACAAATTACCAACTGACTGGGGAAGAAAAATAAAATGTGAATAGTAAACAAAGAGATAAAATTAGTAATGAAAAACCTCTCAACAAAGAAAAGTCCAGAACCAGATGATGTCATTGGTGAATTTAAACAAACATTTAAAGAAGAATTAACACTAATCCTTCACAAACTCTTCCCCAAAAGCGGAAGAAATACTACTGACCCTTGAAAAATGCAAGTGTTAGAGGTGATAACCCTAGTGCAGTTGAATATCCAAGTGCAGCTTTATAGTTGAACCTCCATATTCACAGTTCTGCATCTGCAGATTCAACTAACCATAGATTTATAGTACTGAAGTATTCAGTGTCAAAAGAAATCTGCATTTAAGTGGACCCATGCAGTTCAAACCCATGTTATTCAAGGGTCAACTGTACTTACCTAATTTAATGAGGCCAGCATTAATTAGCCTTAATAGCTAAGCCAGATAAATGCACCACAATAAAATGAAATTACAGACCAATATGCCTGCTGAACATAAATGTAATATCCTCACCGGAATACTACAAAATTGAGTCTAACAAAATACTAAAAGGATCATAAACCATGCAAAAGTGGAATTAATGCCAGGAATCAAGAGTCATTCAACATGAGAAAATCAATTTAATATACCAATGAAGATGGAAAATCTCCATATGCTCAAGTGCAGAAGCAGAAAAAGCATTTGACCAGATCCAAAACCTTTCCAGGATAAAAATCACTCAATAAACTAGGAATGTAAGGGAACTTCACAATATGATAAAAAGCATTTATGAAAAACCGGCAGCTAACATATTTAATGGTAAAAGACTGAAAGCGTTCCCACTATGATGAGGAACAAGACAAGAATACCCACCTTGGCCACTTCTATTCAACATTGTAAAAGAAGTCCCAGCCAGAGGAATCAGGCAATAAAAAGAAATAAAGGCAACCAAATTAGAAAGAATGAAGTAAAACTATCTCTGTCTGTAGAAAACATCATCTTATAAACAGAAAATCCTGAAGAACCCACCAAAAAACTATTAGAGCTAATAAACAAATTTAATAAAATTGTAGAACAAATCAGAAGACTCACATGTCCTAACTTCAAAACCTGCTACAAAGCTTGAGAATCAAAACAGCATAAGGATACACATATAGATCAACTGAAGGGAACCGAGTCCAGAAATAAATCTATACCTCTCTGGTCAACTAATTCTCAACAAGGGTGCCAAGACAATTTAATGGGGAAAAAAACACAGTCTCTTCAACAAATGGTGTTGAGACAACTGGATATCCACATACAAATAAATGACATTGGATCCCTCCCTTATGTTATATATAAAATTAACTCAAAATAGATCAAAGACCTTAGAAGAAAACACAATAAATCTTTATGATCTTGATTTGGCAATGAGTTCTTAGATATGACATCAAAAGCACATACAACAAAAGAAAAACAGATAAACCAAACTTTATTAAAATTAAAATCTTTCTTGATTCAAAGGATATACTATGAAGACTTAAAAAGACAATTAAAAGAATGGGAGGAAATATTTGAAAATCACGTATCTGATAAAAGCCTAGTAGCCAAAATGCTCTTAAAATAAAAAACCCAGTTTAAAAAATGGACAAAAGGATTTGAATAGACATGTCTGTAAAACAGAAATTTCCAAAAAGCACATGAAAAGGTGTTCATTTGTCATTAGGGAAAAGCAAACCAAAACCACAATGAGATACTACTTTGCAACCATTAGGATGGTTATAATTTTTTTAAAAATAGACAATAACAAGTGTTGTCGAGGATGAGGAAAATCTGGAACTCTCATCCATTGCTGGTGAAAATGTAAAATTGTGCAGCCATTGTGAAAAAGTTTGGTGGTTCCTCATTAAGTTAAAAATAATTAAGACATGACCCAGCATTTCCACTTCTAGGGAAACACTCAGAATTGAAAACACGTGTTCAAAACAAAAAAACAGAAAAAATAGGTGCACAAATGTTGACAACAGCAGTATTCACAATTACTGTTAAGGTAGAAACACCCCAAACGCCCATAAACTGATAAATGGATAAACAAAGTGTGGTACATCCATACAATGGAATATTATTAACCATAAAAAGAAATGAAGTCTTGATAAAAGAGTACAAACTTTCAGCTATAAAATGAATAAGGTCTGAGGATCTAATGTATAACATGCTAACTACCATTGATAACACTATATTGTATAACTGAGATTTGCTAAGAGAGAACTTAAATGTTGTTATAAAAAAAAGGATAAATCTGTGAGGTGATGGATATGTTAATTTACTAGATGGGAGGAATCCTTTCACAACATACATGTGTATCGAATTGTCATGATATACACTTTAAATATCTCACAGTTTTGTTAATTATACCTTAATAAAGCTCAGGGTGAAAAGGAATGAAGATTGATACATGCCACAATATAGATGAACCTTGAAAACATTACATTTTAAGTGAAAGATGCAAAAAAGAAAAACCCACATACTGTATTATTACATTTTTATAAAATATCCAGAAGAGGCATGCAAGTCCTGAGAGTCAGAAAGTAGATTAGTGGTTGCCAGGTACTGGAGTAAAAGGGGAATGGAGAATGACTTTAAAGGATATTAGGTTTTCTACTGGGATGATGGAAATGTTCTGGGACTAGACAGTGATAATGTTTGCACAACATTGTGAATGTACTGAATGCCACCAAACTGTACACTTTAAAATGAGTAATTGTTTATGTGTATTTAACCCAATAAACAAATATATGTTATTGTTGATTTTTTATGACCAAATTCCAGCAAATGATGAGGAAGAATTCACTCTACACGAAGCAGATTGAAATTTGATTAAGTGCAGAAATATCTGCCAGAGAGTCATTTCTTAAATGACATACTGAGCAAGACTAACTAAGACTTTTGGAAATTTCTTTTAAGGACATGCAGTCAGTTTATTCTTTAAGTGTTCTAGTTTTATCCAGGAGTGGAAAAACAAAAACTCAAATTTGACAGCCATATGACAAACCCACAGCCAACATAATACTCAACAGTGAAAAGTTGAAACCCTTCCTGCTAAAATCTGGAACAAGACAAGGATACCTACTCTTATCACTTCTATTCAACATAGTCTTGGAAGTCCTAGCCATAGCAATTAGACAAAAGAACTTGACAAAAAGAGTAAAAGGGATCCGTATTGGAAGAGAAGAGGTAAAACTGTCACTATATGCAGATGACATGATACTATATATAGAAAACCCTAAAAACTCCACACAAAAACTAATAGAGCTGATAAAATAATTTGGCAAGTTAGCAGGATATAAGATTAACATATAGAAATCAGTAGCATTTCTTCACACTAACAAAGAAATATCAGAAAAGGAAAGCAAAGAAGCAATCCCTTTTAAAATTGCACAAAATAAATAAAACACTTAGGAATAAACCTGACCAAGGAGATGAAAGACTTATATGCAAAGAACTACAAAACACTGATTAAGGAAATTAAGGATGATTTAAAGAAATAGAAAGATATTCCATGCTCTTAGATTAGAAGAATTGATACTGTTAAAATGGCCACACTACTCAAAGCAATCTACAGATTTAATGTGATCCCTATCAGATTACCCATGCTCTTAGATTGGGAGAATTATTGTTAAAATGGCCATATTACTGAAAGCAATCTGCAGATTTAATGTGATCCCTGACAAATTACCCAGAACTAGAATAAACAATCCTCAAATTTATATGGAATCACAAAAGACCCAGAACTGCCAAAGCATTACTGAAGAAAAAGAATGAAGCTGGAGGAATAACCCACCCAGACTTCAGAAAATGCTACAGAGCTACAGTATTCAAAATAGCATAGTACTGGTACAAAAACAGATATATGGATCCATGGAACAGAATAGAGTGCCCAGGAATAAACCCACAGATGTGCAGTTAATTAATCTTCAACAAAGGAGGCAAGAATATACAATGGAAAAAAGATAGTCTCTTCAGCAAGTGGTGTTGGGAAAACTGGCATGTGTATCAATGAAGTTAGAACACTCCCTCACACCATATTCAAAAATAAACTCAAAATGGCTTAAAGACTTAAAAATAAGATAAGACACTATAAACCGCCTAGAAGAAAACATAGGCAAAACATACTTTGACATAAATCTTAGCAGTGTTCTCCTAGGACAGTCTACCCAGACAATAGAAATAAAAGCAAAAATAAACAAATGAAACCTAATTAAACTTACAAGAGTTTGTACAGCAAAGGAAACCATAAGCAAAACAAAAAGACAACCTATGGAATGGGGGAAAATATTTCAATGATACGACTGAAAAGGGCTTAATTTCCAGAATATATAAAGAGCTCATACAACTTAGTAACAAAAAAACAACTCAATCCAAAAATAGGTAGAAGACCTAAACAAGCAATTACCCAATGAAGACATACAAATGGCCAACAGGCACATAAAAAAATGCTCAGCATCACTAATTATCAGAGAAATGCAAATCAAAACTACAATAAGATATTACCTCAAACCAGTCAGAATGGCCATCATTCAAAAGTCCACAAATGATAAATGCTGGAGATGGTGTGGAGAAAAGGGAACCTTCCTACACTGTTGTTGGGAATGCAGTATGGTACAGCCCTTGTGGAAAGTAGTATGGAGATTCCTCAAAAGACTAAAAATAGACTTATGATATGATAACAGCAATGCCACTTCTGGGTATATGCCTGCGGGGAACTCTAATTTGAAAAGATACATGCACCTCAATGTTCACAGAAGCACTATTTACAATAGCCAAGACAAGGAAACAACCTAAATGTCCACCCACAGATGACTGGATAAAGAAGCTGTAGTATATTTATACAATGGAATACTACTCATCCATAAAGAAGAATAAAATAATGCCATTTGCAGCAACAGGGATGGACCTGGAGAATGTTATTCTAAGTGAAGTAAGCCAGAAAGAGAAATAAAAATACTGTATGATATCACTCATATGTGGAATTGAAAAAAAAAAGA